CCAGACATTAGCCAACTGAGTCTTGACCTTTGTCCAGACATTAGCCAGCTGAGTCTTGACCTTTGTCCAGACTTTAGCCAGCTGAGTCTTGACCTTTGTCCAGACTTTAGCCAGCAGAGTCTTGACCTTTGTCCAGACATTAGCCAGCTGAGTCTTGACCTTTGTCCAGACATTAGCCAGCAGAGTCTTGACCTTTGTCCAGACTTTAGCCAGCTGGTGTGTAGTCAAAGCTGACGCAGCGAACCTTAAAGTCTAATTCTCTTGTAGCTTCACAAGGAACTGGACTGGAGAACTCCAGCAAAAATAAAATGCCAAGAACTAATTAGGACAAGGCTTTTTAAGTACCAGCAGTGTTAGGGGTCAAAGAGGAGTGTGTTAAGCAGCTAAAGACTGGGGGGGAGGGGGGGGGCAGCATTTGTTCACATATTTGTAAGGATTTCACAACATTACATCGAGTGATTAGTTTGTTCTTTGGCATTTTTTGAAAGATCTTCTTTGGTCACATTTTCTTTTTTTAGTAATCTGGTACAAATTCCATCCATTTAATGTGTCCGACACTTAAAGTAAGTGTCTGAGGTGTATGATCAGTTTATATCGTCTTCATTTAGTCTTTATGTTCAGCTGTCACTCAAGCTGCATTATGGGAAGTGGGGATTTCAACATCAATTCAGTGGAAACAGCTGGTTTACGTGATGAATTCAGTGGAAACAGCTGGTTTACTTGATGATTTCAACAGCTGTCTGTGAAGCAGGAAGTGCTTTTGTTTAGTTTCATGATAAGGCCGTCATTTCCACATCTTGTCATTTTCACGTCAAGTGTTCTGTGGAGCAGGAGAGCAGCAAGATTAATAAAAAGCAAAAAATACTCTGTTAGTCACAAACTTCAAAATTTCCAGCTAAATTGGAAGTGAGTCAGAAAATGGAAAAGTGAGATATAGTTCCTGAGAGACGGGAAGAAAGTCCCAGACTGACGTCGACAGTTTACGATGTGCCAGGTCTTGTACAGGTATGCAGCGAACGATAAGTCGTCCAAGGTGTGGAAGAGTTTATGTCCTTGTTGTACTTGGAGTTCTTTATGTAGGTGTCTAATATTTGCTGTAACAACTCTACATCTTAATTATAATTCTTTAAGAACGATGTACAAAATTAACATAGTCATGGAGTGCCACCTCACATTTATCACCAGCTCCATGCCAGGATTTTAGATCAAGATGGCCGCCACAGCCACATCTCGCCAGGTGCGTGGAGATTGTGTTGAGGATGACTCTCAGCTACGACCTCGTTAATTTTCTCATTAGCTGCAGTTCTGAGTAAGTTGAGTTTGCAAAGCTCTGTTAGTTGTGGCAGCCGTTGGTTATCAGGACACACGTCCTGCTAATGGTCAGGCTTTTTAACGAGCCCAAACACTTGACATTTGTGATGACGTGCTGCTAATTATTGTTAACGCAGCTCTTCCTGCAGGCTTAACGAGAGGTCTCAACTTGCCCAGATGGCCGAGCTGTCGGTGCTGCTTACTCTGCATGTTGATGATGCAACCTTGAGTGACTGGCGTGTTTCCGTATGCCGGCCATGCTCCCACATCACTGCACGTTTGTGCAGCCGTCTTTGCTCCTGGCCGATTTATGTAGAGCAGCATGCTAGAGCCAAGTCCTCCAACTGTTTGATCAGCCAGCTTGTTGCTAGTGGGCGCTACATTTGATATGAAAGCTGTTTCTAGGTCCTTTGCTCAGTGCGCATTAAACTCACATAAGAGGTGAATCAGAAAGTGTGATTCTCTGTGATGATTGTTGGGGAAACATGTGAATAAATAGACCAACCCTGGGTTTCTACAAAGCAGTTGGACGTCTGCGTCTCCTGGGGAGCATGCAGCGAGCAGAGACCCTCCATCTGACCTACATACTGTATGAGGCGCTGCTTGTTTAACCATCACTCCGCTGCAAGCTTCAAATGCTGCCAGTGGATCCAACGATGAGCATACGAGAAGTGTTCACTTTGTTTTGGCTCTCTTGTTTGTAAAACTTTCCATTTTTAGTCATTTGTGGAGTTCAAAGTGCACTACTGCCTTTATGCATTTCATGAATAGTGTGCACAATTCTTCATTAAACCATAAAAATCATCAATATTGTTATGGGTTACTGAAGAGAACATAAAAAGCCCATCATTCCTTAAAGGAAATGATCTTTTCATGGCACATCATCTTCTGATGGACAGTCAAAGCCGCTTTGGTACAAACTTGTGAACGATGCGCTGCCTGGCCCTAAAAACGGGTCACGCTGATGTTTGGTTGGAGCGCCTTTAGCTTCGATCACAGCTGCGTTCTCTGTGGCATTGTTTCAATAAGCTTCTGCAATGTCACAAGATCTATTTCATCCAGTGTTGCATTAATGTTTCACCAAGAGCTTTTGTTGCTGACGTCAGAGTCTGACCACTGCACCAAACCTTCTCCAACACATCCCAAAGATTCTCATGGGGTTCAGGTCTGGACTCTGTGGTCCATCCATGTGTGAAAACGATGTCTCACGCTCCCAGAACCGCTCGTTCACAATTCGAGCCCGATGAATCGTGCGTTGTCATCTTGGAATACGTCCGTGCCATCAGGGAAGAACAAATCCTTTGATGGAAGAAGCTGGTCCTTGAGTATATTCAGGTAGTCGGCTGACCTCGTTCTTTGAGCTCATACTGGTTCCGAACCTGGACCAGAGCAACTGCAGCAACCCCACATCATAACACTGCCCCCACAGGCTTGTACAGTAGGACACATGTCTTCCTCCAGGACGATGGGTCCCCACTGTCCTTCCAGTTTTTAATAATCGTTGGACAGTTCTTAACCCAGTTTTAGTTTCTACAATCTCCTGAGATGTTTCCTCTGCTCGATGCCAATGATTCGACCCTTCTCCAACAGTCGGACATCTTTTCCACGACCACGCCGTGAGTCTTTGACATGGTTGTTGAAGAGATGAGAAGCAGCTCATGGCACCAGTTGGAGTTAAAGAACTTGTTGCAGCTGAACGATGATCGTCCGTGCAGTGATGATCCAGCAGGAGGCTCGGACCTGTTTCAGTAGCTACATCCAGGTGGAGACTTGTTTCTGGCCAGGCAGTGAGTTATGCACGGTCCAGTGCAATATCACAAGATGTGTTGGTGCTTGGAGTTTGTGTTGGGAAGGACTTCAGGTACTACTACAACTAAATATTTGTAGAATGTGCGTAGTTCTAGTCGATTAGCTGTGGCAGCCATCTTGAATGGGGTTGATTCCAAACGTTGATGAGTTATAGATTTGTATGCAAGGATTAGTTGCTTAGAGTTCAATTAAAATCTGTCCACTTGTTCTTTAAATATTTTACTAACAATACATGGACAAAAACACTACTGCCTTTCATTTTTGGCGGTGGTTTATAATGAAAGTAGTCTCCTGTTAAAAAGCAGGTGGAGCAGTTTTACTTTGTTCAGATAAATGTGAAGTCGTGACATTTGATACTAGTTTGTGCAGGTTTCTGAGGTACACAAAGCAAACGCTTGCTCCAAGTACGACATGCAATAAGCAGAAAACATGTTCAGACCAGTTTCCCCTGTTGTTATTGATGAAACCGATAAGGGCTTTCCCATCGTTTGGCTCCTCTTTCCATCAGTCCATCCTGTTGCTGGGAGGTGTGGCGCTGGCCTGTCTGGCTCTGGACCTCCTGTTCCTGCTCATCTACTCCATTTGTCTGTGCTGCCGGCGCAGTAAAACCGAGGAGCAGCCCAACGCTGACTGTTGCTGCACGGCCTGGTGCGTCATCATCGCCACACTCGTTTGCAGGTGAGTGTGAGCGCGCCGGCGGGGTCAGCTCCATCAGCTTCAGTCGCCCAGCGTAATGACCGTGTCCTTTTTACTTAACCCACGCTCGTGAGTCGGTGCATCCAAAAGTAATGCTTGAGAATATCAGCATGAATTCTGTTGCTCTCCTGTTTCACGTGTTTAAATTTGATACTTGAACATGTTCGCAGCTCAGACATCGTGTACATGTTGCAGAGGCAGCTTCTTTTTTTTAAATTGGTTTACAAGATCTTAATCATGAAAGAATTCCTCGTGCAGCCTCGACGCTCTGTTTCTGCCAGAACACATTTGGACCCGTCTTACAGACTGGAGGGTTTTAGCTGTGAACATTGTTAACAGTAGAAACTTTAGTGCGAGGTTATGATGAGGGGTGGGGGTGCGCAGTGGCGAGCGGTCGGCGCTACCGTCTCGTGCTCCTCAGGCTGCAGGTTTGAGCCCAGTTTGCTTCACAAAGGACTTCCAGCACAAACACTCGGCAATTCTTTCATGCACGTTTGCTCAGAGTGGTGACAGCACTCTATTTGCAGACAGGCTTTAATATTTTTAATTTATTATTAATACGAACAACGGTGTGATAATTTGCCATCTGGTCATGTTTTGTGTCCTTGAACGCGCAGCGTTTGCTTCCTGTTTTTCTCGTCCTGTTAATGGGCCTCCGGAGAGCCATCCCAGTTGATTCAGAGTCGCACAAAGAGCTCAGGGACCCGACGAGGACAAGAACTGCATTACAATCACGGCGTGCGCTCCAACCCACGCACGGATGTTAGGCTTTTCAGCAAAGTTCGGTTTGGATTGCTTTTGCTGAACATGGAGATTAGTTAACTTTTATTCTGTTTTTCCAAAGTTCACGTAGAATTATTTCACAATAAAGAATTTTCTGTAAAGCTGCATTTTTCCACCAGAGGTGCAGGAAGTGGAAAAAGATGAGAAAGAAGGAAAACGTGATCAGCTGAAGACTTGTTGATCAATATAGACTAAGATCATAGTTATTGATTTAATGTAGAATGTTTAAAATAAAATGAAAGATGAGTTTTCTTTCTTCTGCAGTTTATTGTCACTGAAATGTTGAGTAGTTTCAACACAGTTTATTTTTCTTTACAATATAAATGAACCTGCATCAGTCGGTGGCAACATGTTTTTCTGTTCACATGTTTGGAAATTGTTGCCTGAGCGGTTTATGTGCAGCTCGAGGCAGACGAGATCCAACCCCCCTGCCTTGGTGAGGGCTTTGGGCCGGTCCTCTGGTTCTGTGGTTCTGCAGGAACTCTTTCTGCTCGAGTGAGAAGGAGCCGTTGACCGGGCTCTGGACGACTGGGTTCAACCTGAACTCACATGCCGCTCACTCTGCCTAGCTGTCCCCCCCTCGCCTGGTTTCTCTTCTCTGTGTCCTCTGGGGGGGTTTGTTTTTGGTCTTCACCAGTCTGCCCCCTCTTTTGTCCCCCACTTAGTGCTGGTATTGCTGTCGGTTTCTATGGGAACAGCGAGACTTGCGATGGAGTGAATCGGCTGACGTACTCCCTCCTCCACGCGAACCGCACAATCACTGGAGTGCAGAAGCTGGTGAGGCCAAGAGAGCAAATCGCACCAGCGTATTTAATAATTCATCTCTGCTCTGGTTTCATTAAATCTCTGGTGGTTTGCTGGTTTCTTCTCTGAACTGTTTCTGGACGCTGGCTCAAGGTAACTGATAGTACGTCATCGTTAAACCAGACCGTGGACGACGATCTGCAGCAGCTTGAGGGCCAGTATGCTCAGCATGCGGACTACGTCTCCATCATCCAGAAGCTGCAGGGCCAACTGGACGAGCTCGTCAGACAGATGGTTGAGATCCCTTTTTGGGACAACAAGGTTTCCCTGGAGGATTTGGCCGTTAAGATTGAACTGTACGACTGGTATAGGTAAGAATGTAGTCGACTCCGAACATGAGTAAATTCAACAATGTTAAAAAATACTTGAACATGGAAAATGACAATGGACAGAATGACCAAATACATCTTCATGTTGTGTAGAATCTCTTTAAACCCTAACATGCACACAAATGTTAAAATATTATTCACAGTCCTGTAAACACTTGGCTTCCTCATGTCAGAGGTCACAGACCGTTTGGACCAAGTTTACTCTGTAGTGCCACAGAGATGAGAAGGAAAGGAACCATGAGGACATTGTTGGATCTCATTAATGTTCAGCCTTGTTTCAAGTTTTCCAGTTTATCTTCAAATGTTCGTCTTATTGCGTCGCGCCTAAAATCATAAATGTGCACGTGTAATCACACAGCTGTTTGTTTCAGTACAACATCTGGCAGAAACAACTGTGTCCATTTCAAAGGAAATTATCAAGGTTGTAAGTGAAAGTTTGTGAAGACACGTTGATTGAAAGGTAGATTAGAAAGATTATATGCTATTTGTTACTGGAATTAATAGATGAAGTATTTATAGTTTATTTTTTACAAAAGTCCTAATTATGGCAAAAATTAAAATGATCTTTTTTTGCAGCCTGTTCTCATTCCAACCAATTTTGCCAGCACAGGTCACAGTCGCTCTGTTTATGTAATCAACCATTTTTTATTTCTTTTCTTTGTACGGGTTAATCGAACCGAGACACATTCGTCTCATTTGCAAGAGAAACGTTGTACACAAATAAAACTACAATCAAAAAGACTTTATTTACAGGCCTCTCTTGTAAATGAATCCCCGGAGCTCAATGACACTAACTTGTATAAATAAAGGTTGAATGAAAGAATATGCAAATAAAAACAAATATCAAAATTAGAAAATATAAGCTATACTTAATAATCTGCAAGAATTTATTGAATGTGAGTTTTTATGATCGGCTTAGATTGAACTTGAAAACAAACTTGTCTTTTTATAAGAAACTGAATAAAATAGTTCAATATTTTAAAGTTAAATTCTTATAGTCGTTTATTTTATTTATTTTTGCTTTACCTTTTAAGTATATACGAGTTTTTAAAATATATATATCCCAAAGTTAGATCAAGTTTTGATTTATTTTTTTAATTCTTTTTATCATTTGGAGATTGTTGGTCATTTTATTTACCGTATTTAAATATATATATATATATTTTATATATATATATATATATATATATATATATATATATATATTTTATATATATATGTGTGTTTGCCTCTACAGGTGGCTGGGCTACATAACCTTACTGCTGTTTGACGTCTTCATCTGCCTTCTCGTTCTCTTGGGCCTTATTCGCAACGTGAAGGGAACTCTTATCGGGTGAGTCTCATCGTGAAATAATGATTAATTATAGCGTGACCAATTAGAAATAAAACAACAGCAATTTGTTGAAATGCAGAGAAGCTTGTGCAGCAGATGTTGTATGACTTTAAGTGGAGTCAGTCTCAACTTAAAATGAACATAGTTGGGATGTTCAAACAAATCAGGCACACAAGTTAATACTCATCCATCCATCCATCCATCCATCCATCCATCCATCCATCCATCCATCCATCCATTATCTTTACGCGCTTCTTCATTTTTGGGTCGTGGGGGTCACTGGTGCCCATTTCCATCTATCACTGTGCGAGAGGCGGGTACACCCTGGACAGATCCCAAGTCCACGTTAAGAGCTTCTCATTTTACAGCTTCAAAATATGTGTTCATGCGCTCACACTGCAGATGACCTTTGACCTCTTGTTTCCCACAGAGTGTGCCTGTTTGGTGTAGTGGCTCTTATCTTCAGCTGGGTCTCACTGGGGCTGGAGTTGGCGGTCTCTGTGGTAAGTTCCTGCATCAGAAAATGGATCCTGATGAGCCAAGATAACGTGTAAAGTTAAAACTAAACCACTGATGGGTGATGAGAAAATGCTTTTCTCTAGTTTCACAGCCATACCATAAACTGAACCCTGTATTTTGGGGAAATGCTTCACATATAACACAGACTCGTGTCGTTACATTGTACATTGTGCTGGTTTTTCTAGTTGCTCAGTGATTTTCCAGAACTCCTCTCGACTGATGACAGCGATGAGGACGCACAGCGTCTCATCTGTGATTCAGACTGTGTAGAGAAGGCAGTACAATAAGTTACTTTATACTTTAGTGAGAAGGAAGACTGCTGAAACGCAGAAGCATCATAAATCTAGATTTTTTAAATTGAATTACTTTATTTCAATTACACAATGTTGGTTTTCAACTATGAAAATATTCATGATTGCTAATCTGCATATGCAAATCAAAATGTAGATTTGGAAGATTTCCTCTCATGCAGGTGACTCGAACTTTTCACACGTACCATAAATGCTGTTTTTTCTTCCTCTTCTTCAATATGAACGACTTCTCTCATTTAAGGCACTAATTTTTCTTAGCAGTAATTTAAACCACCATCACCTAAACTCTTGTTTGATTCGAGGTGGTGGAGCGTTTAAAGTACAGTGAAGAGGACATGTGGTTCCAGAAGCATGCACTTCATTCGTGTGTCTGTTCAGGGTTCCAGTGACTTCTGCTTCGCTCCGGATACTTATGTTACCAAAGTGGGGAGTCAGTATGGCGTCATCAACCCAGGTAGGATTCCTTTGATTTGTTTTCATTCAGATTCATGCACTAAAGCTTCAGTTTGCTGTTTTATATCAAATGTGACTTCCAGTCATCTCGGATTACACTCGGCAAGTTATTATGAATTACTGTGAATTTCTGTCCCTGGGGAGGTCGAAGTGCTTTGATTGTTGTGCAGAAGTGAGAAGCTGCATTCTGCAGAGCCAGCCTTGTTTTTGTGAATGCCACAATTCATAAAAAGCTTCTAAAAATTGCTGCCGGATCTGCAGCAGGGTCAGGAGGGCAATGGGCTCCTTTTTAAACAGCACAGCAGCCTGTTCAGCTCATTTCAGATTTTCCACTTTGTTTCATGTCGGGATGCAAGTCAGAGAAAAACCAGCCTCCGGATCACTGGATCAGAAAAACAGAACATTTCCTGTGTCCATCGACAGAATGGTGCTTGAAATTACAACACTTCATTTTTCATCATCAGCTCAACAAAATAAGAGTTTTCTGCTCTCCTTGTAAAATATGAAGTTAGCTGAGCACAACAAGCAGAAATCAGGACATCAGTTGAAACTGTTAACAATATATCCCGGCTTCCTGCTTAGTAATATAAAGCTTTAATCCAGCTCACATAGATAATATTTAACTTGTATTTTCTTCCTGTAAATATGAAGATGTTAACAAAAATCTTCTTTATGGTTTAAATTAGTGTTTTCATTCATGTGTCGAAGTACATTGCTACTCTGAAATACCACAAATTACTGTAGCATATAAAGTAGTAACAGAACTCAATACAGGAAGTTTTCAAAGCATTTTTTTATCAATTGTCTGTAAATTTTTGGAATATTTCCTCTTTTCCACTTGAAATTCCACCAGGAACAAGTTTGAGCAGTACAAGTGTTTCATAATGAAGCTGGATTCATTCATTGCTTCCTCCGGCTGGATATTTAACCATCTATTTAATTTAGATCATTCTGGTATAAAAGATTTTCTCTCTTACTCCTTTTCATTCCTCTTTCTCAGAGTTCAACACGTGCGCTGTCTGCAATGACAAAGATGAGCTGTGTGCACGCTGGATGTTTTACAATTTTAAATCATTGTTTAGACGTCAGCAACTGTCAGTGTTTAACATTTGTTCACTGGTTCTGAAAAATGGTTTTTGTCTGATATTCCTTCAGTGAGTTACTGATCTTTTGTAAAACTGAGTTTACTAAAGTATTTGCTGAACTACTAAAGGTTCAATGGCTGGAAGGTCCAACGTGTGTGATCGCAATGAGTGGGAGGCAGAAAAGACTAAAATAAGGGTCACACAATCATCATCATCATCGTCATCATCATCATCATCATCATCATCATCGTCATCATCATCCAAAAAGTCCAAGTTGGATGTTAAAAATTCTTGAACAAGCTCTGATGGTCACGTGTGAAGTTTTCTGTATGTCCAGTGTTTTATGTGGGACGTATGAACATTTTCTGTTTCAAAAAGAATATTTGAACTAAATTAACCAAATATTTTGAAGCTTGTTTGGTTTAAAGAAACCACGAGTCCCGTAGCTCTGAAGAGGACGGGGGTTTCTCGTGTTTTGCCAAAGTCTCATCGATAACCGTTGTTTTGTGTTTTGTTGGATTTTTTTTTCACATTTTTATTTGTTGTACCGACACCACTGTCAAAAGTCTTGGCACACCACTACCGATGTAGACGCTTGTTTTATTGTGTAATTTACACGTACTAATACACAGTACCCTCTACGATGAGGACTGGCAGAGTACAAGAAGCCGTTGTATTGTGATCCATATTTTCTATAATTAAAACCTGTTCCCAGCTCCTTCACAAGCCGTCATTTCTCAGGAAGTCTGTTCTTCTGATGGCGGGTGGACTTGTTGGATAGAGCAGGACTGAAACGTGACGTGCACGTTATGTGCTTGTATGTTCTCTGCCGTGCCACAAAGCTCAGCTGAGTGAAAAGGGAGCGGGGAGCTCCTGGCAGTGAGTTTGGACGTCACGAACGCCATGTGTCGGTTTCTCACAGCTCGGATTTGTGCTGCGGTACTTTTGAGTCACGCTCGCACATAAAGCTTTTCTCATCAGTTCCTTCTCGGTGCTGTGAACGAAGGAAGTGGGTGGAAACAGCAAGTGAAAGTCTGAACCTCTAGTAATTAGTCTTTGGATCATTGTGCACGGTGAGCAGCGTGCAAGTTTAGTCTTGTAGTTTAACCATGAGAGTGCATGATAGTCATTGGTGTTGTTTTCAGGGGTCTGTGTATAAAACTAGAGGTTGTTAAACCTTTTCTAGTGTTTACTTTGTTCTGTGTAGGTTTAAATGTGTTCCGAGACGTCTTGTGTTGCTGCAGTATTTGCTTTATTCTTTTGGCTCTAGTCCCCTCAGCGCTCACAGTTACTCACTCTGTAAAGCAGCAGTAAAGCTGTGACGTGGCAGCAGGAGTCATGAAAGAACAGTACTAGATAAAGATAATAACGTCTTGTTTCTTTATTCCTGTAAAACTGTAGTGGCAGAACAAATGGTTCAGGACAAGCAAAGCACAGTCATACATACGAGATGGCAGAGATAAAAGACTCTTTTAGTTTATACAATCAACATTTTATAAATGTGAAAGGAGACCCTTTTTTAAAACCCTGTACTAGCAACTTTGGGTTAGAAGTTTATGTTGACTTGTTCCTTATTGTTGAATTTTTCACGTCTCTATCCATGGCCTCACCAAACTCCTCCCACATCTGAGCTTTGCCTCAGCGACAGCCAAAGCTGTGGACTGCTTAGCTCCTTGGTACTCCTCAGGTGCCTTCAGAGTCCCACCAGCCAACAAGGCCCGATACGACTCCTCCTTCTGCTTGATAGCCTCCCTAACCCGGGGTGTCCACCAGGTCTGTCCGGCATCTTCCCCCTCCATCTGATCCAAGTCACTACCAGGTGGTGATCAGTTGACAGCTCAGCTCCTCTCTTCACCCGAGTGTCCAAAACAAGTGGCTGCAAATCAGATGACACGACTACAAAGTCAATCATTGATCTACGACCTAGAACATCCTGGTGCCAATTGGACTTATGGGACCCCCTTATGTTCAAACATGGTGATGGACAAACATGGTGATGGACAAATCATGACTAACACAGAAGTCCAACAACAGAACACCGCTCGGGTTCAGATCAGAGAAGACGTTCCTCCCAATCGAGCCTCTCCAGGTCACACCGTCATTACCCATATGGGCATTGAAGTCCCCCAGCACAATAGAGTCCTCAGCTGGTGTACCTTCCAGGACCCCAGCTAAGGACTCCAAGGAGACAGGTACTCTGAAATGCTGCTTGGTTAAAAAAAAAAAACTCCAACACACAGGCACCAAGTCGGGGGTCAGGAGTAGATCCACACCAGCTTGGCACCTCTCACCACGGGCAACTCCAGTGTGATGAGATTGGTTCTGGAGCCCATGCCGTGCGTCGAGATGAGCCCCACTATATCTAGTCGGTACCTCTCAACCCCATGCACAAGCTAAGACTCCTTCCCCACCTGAGTTACAATCCATGTCCCAAGAGCCAGGTTTGGTAAGCCTGGGTCAGCGTGCCAATGCTTACCAAACCACTGCCCCTTGAGTCATGAACCTGACTCATGTGGCCCCTCCTGCTGTGGAAAGAGATGTCTGAGCCTCCCTGCTCAAGCTGCTGCCCCCGTGACCTTGGGAAGGATGGATGGATGGATGGGTGGGTGGGTGGGTGGGTGGATGGATGGATGGATGGATGGATGGATGGATGGGTTTTTCACTTCACTCACTCAGTTTGTGCATGGTTATGTTATGCCAGCAGGAAGCTGTATTAAAACCCAGTGTAGAGTTGTTCCTTTGTTCTGAACATGATTTCGCCACGTTCCTTTATGTCCGTTCTGCAGTTCTGCTCTTAAATGCAATCAGCAAAGTCACTTCTTGTAGTTTAATGTTTTGGTGTTGCTTTTTAAACATAGAGATGCATTTATTCATCACTTTGCTTATCAAGATGAGTTTTTCAAACCTCGACAATGCAACTTTTTAAAGTTTATGATAAAACAGCCATTTTACAAACATCTAGTAGAATAACTGAGAAACAGTTCAGTTGGTAATCATCAGGTTATTGCATAATGAAATATCGTTTCAGTAACAACCTTCTGATCTTCAGGTTTCTGTTTCTGCTCCTCCTGGTGTACTTTCAGAAATCCTGCAGTACTACATCAGTTGCAGTTTGGAACAAACCAACCCCTTCCAGCAGGTTTGTTATAACTACATTTGTTTTTGCACATGAAGAGGCATTTGCCACGTTTAAAACAAAGCTGTGCATAAAACTTAAATTTGAGTGAAATGTTATTGCAGATAGGATTTACGCATGGTGTTATGAGCTTGTAGTTGGTAAGAATGGCAGTAAGCATCGTCAGTAGGTCACAATGCCTCAGAATTAGGCTGTTTCCATGCAAGAGCACAATACTTTGTATTCTGTGAGCAGCATTATATCCACACCTAAACCCCAAGCTTACTGCTTAGGCTCAGGTAACAGGTTGTACAGAAACAGTGTGAAAGATTTGAGTCGCCGCTTGTTTCTTTAAACATTTTTCTTCCAGTGTTATGTCTGTTAAGTGGCTTCAACAAAAATGAACGTTCCTCTGGAAGTGGTCGGGTACAAGGCCTGGACTGGAAATGAGTAGAAAAGAGTCAAAGCAGTACTAAGTCTGAAGACTTATCCTCCAATACAAATGTAAAAGATTAACTTCTTAGAAGTAAAAATAAAGAGAAGCGGTATGGCTCAAGACTTTTGCACAGGTGTGCTGTATGCCACCCCCTCTGTGAGAGTGGTTTTCTTTAATGGACATCACATTTTATTGTTGAAGCCGCATCAATAAGTTAAAACTTGTGAGTGCTCCTGGGTTTAAAGGCTTCTGTTGTTGGTTCCAGTGTAAATTTAGAAGTTTCTTTCACCTCCGTCTGTAAAGTGCCTGCATGCTCTGACGCAGTCCATTTGAACAAAATGAAGAGAGTTGCTCAAGAGTTCTTGTAATTATTTAAGAAATGGAAATGCCTAAAATGAATTCTAATAAATGCTGACGTTCATTCTCTTTTCAGAGGCTTTCTGGGAGCCACAAAGCTTTAGTGGAGATGCAGGATGATGTGTCTGAGCTGCTGCGCTCTGCCACCAGAGAGTACAAACAGACCAAGGTACGTCTCGAAGCACCTTTACAGATTAGCTGTAACTGTTTGTGGTGACCCGTCTGACCTGCACAGCGCTGAACTGCACCTGTCCACATAAAGATCTGCTGACAGCCCACCTGGGAAAGGCATAATGTCCGTTAAGTAGCATTAGTCTGTCAGTGGCACACAGCACGGTGCTAATGCACCGCTCTGCTTCTGACACGTGTTGACGGATGTAAAGGAGGCTGACGCAGGGAACAGTGGGAGGCATCTTTCTTTTCACATACCCACACACACAAATCGTTGTTGATTTTTTATTTTTTAATCCGGCAGTCACATGGATTTTCATCCAGAGCAAATTGTTGACTAAAGTAAAACCAGAGACGGCTCTTTAGAATGATTTTTAAAAAGATCAAATTAAAATCTGATTTTCAGCTCTACTGTCTGCGCATGCTGTAGATTTATAAAAACATTAGTCCTGCTTGATGTGTGTTGAATGAATAAACAGTGAGTGAATCTCTATCAGAGTGTCACTTTACAGTCACTTCTTCATAGTTCATGTTCGTGAAGCAGAAAATGGTCATTTTGATTATTTATTTTGGATTGTACCAATTTGTTTGCAGTGGATGGTTCCAAGCATGCAACACTGACGGGCCTTGATGTAAAGCTTCAGCTGTGTAATTTTAGTATTTTCTTTCCTTTATCCCCAGGAGAGTCTGGAAGAGATTCAGGGAATCCTGAACACCACAGAGATCAGCCTGCACCAGCTCACTGCACTCGTGGACTGTCGTAGCCTGCACATGGTGAGCTGAAACGAGACGATTCTGAGGCCTCTGTCGTGTTGCACAGAGCACGATGGAAAGGAACTGATTTGTTCAGACATTTTATTTTAAAAGAGCCAAGTTACATAAAGCAGCTCATCTTTGTTGCTTGTAGAGCGTGCACACCTGTCACTCTGTATAACGTTCTCCTTCCTGTGTCCAAGTTCGTGTCCTGCTCATTCTGCCTGTGTTTCATGTTTCATGCATGAAGTTGGCACAAAGTAAAGTTGCTTTTCCTTGAAGGGTTGTTCCACAGAGTGCCCAGATTAAAAACGTGCAAGTGTTGAACGTTCTGGTTACTTTCAGCCCTGATCTCCCTCTCGAGCTTCTACTTCAGAAGCCACACTAATAATTTATGTTTATTGGTCTCATTTTAAGCTGTGGTTTATTTCCCAGCTTTACCGTGCACGTTGAATGGATATTCAGTCGTGATGTGGCGTTTAGTGCATTATATCTAGTTCACCTGTGAGCAATGACAGTCCCTCGTTTATCACGGGTTTATGGGACCACGCCCCCACGATAAGTGAAAACCCGTGAAGTAGAGATGCAGTAGTCCAAGTTCAAGTGTCACTACCAATCTCCCTCGTTCAATGTAAATAAACCATTTAAATTTAAATACTGTAATATTTTTAATAATTGTTTGTTTGAAATATGACAGTATTTAAGTTTTAATTGTAGAGAAGCGCAGCAGGACCAGAAATGTGTGTGTGGCAGAGAGTGGGGGGAGCTTCTCCCTGCACCTGTGGGCTGCACACAGGTGCAGCAGGTGCTACATCATTTCAAATAATTTATTTGAAATAATCAGTCCAGTACTGTAGTTTGTATTTAATCTAAATTAGCAGACCCATTTTCTAACTCGCGTTTCGATGAAGCTCTTTCTTTTCCATAATTTATTAATAACTCTTGAACGTCTGCATATTGCAGGACTACGTGCAGGGTATAACAGGACTGTGTTACGATGGACTGGAAGGCCTCATCTACCTCGTGCTCTTCTCCTTCGTCACAGCTCTGATGCTCAGCTCGATTGTCTGCAGCGTGCCTCACACCTGGCGAGGCAAGCGGTAAGGCCCCGCCCCCACCTCCACCTCCACCTCACAACTACCAACGTTAAAGTGCAAAAGTTTTCATGCCACGTTTGGATTCAGGACCATAAACACACTGAGAAATAATTCAAGAAAAGACTATTAATTATTCATATTTTTAGGCTTTGGTGCCTTTTATTCATCTCAGGAATGAAGGAAAGTGCTCTAAAGAAAAACTTTTCGGGTCTTTTATTTATTTATTTTTCTCCAAAGCTTTGTCCAAATGACACGTTCAAAGACTCTCCCTCAATAGATTAGTTTTCTAATTGTGCCGTGTTGGCCTGCGCTCATCATAACCCCCGTCTGAGCGGCTCTTCTGCACAAGCGTGAGATCATTTCGATTTCATTTTCCCCCAGAAGCAACATACGATGTCTGCAGGGTGGCTGCAGGGGAGCACTTTGTAAAAACTGCCTTCAGCTCAGAGGAGGGGGGCATGTTCATTAGTCTGATCTTAGCTGGCACTTCCTGTTACAAAATAAAAGCTTACACTAACGGTCTGTCTCCGTGCTCCCTGCTTAGCTTTATTTGTTCTCCAGTATTTTGGTAATGAGGCATGCAAGCTAATCGTTTACCCCATCTGGAGTTACAGATTATAAAAACAAGTCAATCTCGTAATATGTGCTTAATGTGTAATGTCAACATTCAAATATTATTATTGTTTGTTTCATAATGTGGCTTTTTTCTGAAATACAGATTGAGACTATAGAAACAACAAAGGTGACAATGACGTCATAGACGTCGTGGTGAAACACTAGAGGGAGCCGGGCTCCTGTTTGTGTGAAAGATGCCGGACTCTCAGGAGCCGAGCTCATTACAGTCTGCTGCAGAGGAGGCCTGCGCCGTCCTTTCAGCTAGTTCGATCACATAAAGCGACATTAGTGTTTGGAGTTGAACAAATTGCATCAGTTTGTTTTTACACCTTGTTTAGTTTCATTACGGTCAGTACAAAACCTTGTTGGCGTCAAACGGCACAAGTTCATTTAGTTTTTTATTATCTGAGGCAGTGATGTCATTGATTCAAGATAAAAAGTGAATGGTGGCATTTTTCTGCTCGTTTGACATCTTCAGTGAAAACAGGTCCCTCTGGTGGTTGTTTTATCGTGTTGTGCTTCGCAGGAGTGATGAAGACAGCGAAGAGGAGTCTTTGAGCCACGGAGGAAGGCAAAACCCCGACAGCCTGTACCGGGTCCACATGCCCAGCCTGTACAGCTGTGGCAGCAGCTACGGCAGCGAGACGTCCATTCCTGCCGCAGCCCACACCGTCAGCAACGCACCTGTCACAGAGTACATGTAAGACTCCGCTCGGTGCAGAAGCCAGAAGCTTCTCAAAGGGAAAGTTTAAAAGTTGTGCTGCAGCGAGGCTCATTTCTCATTCTCTCTGGTGTCAAGAACAAGTTTCTTTGTCCCAGACAGGACATTAGTTCTCCGACAGGCTGCAGCTGTTGTTCTCCAATTGTGATGTCTGTGAAACCTGAAGATCTGGGGGGGGTCTGGCTCCATGTAAACCAAATGACATCTGCAGAATTTACTGTGACGTTTAGTTTGATCTATATTTCATCCAGCAGGGCTCAGAACTCCAACTCCCAGAACTCGCGCTGTGAAAACACACCTCTGATTGGACGGGAGTCTCCTCCTCCCTCGGTAAGTGCAGCGTCTGTTGCTTTGCTGCTTCAAGTGTCGGAGCACCCCTTGGTTCAGGGATATTCAGCTAAACTCAGGGGGCCACCGTTGCTGCAAGTCAAGAGCTCGGGGGCCGGACAGCCAGCACGTACTCTCCTTAAATAAGTTTGTTTTACAGTTTAAAATGTAGTTTTGTTTCAAAATGAGCCCATTGTTGGGCCGAAATGAGCTCACTCGGGGACCTGATTTGGCCCCGGACCACCACTTGAGTAGCCCTGCTTGAGTTGTTGTTTCAGGAACTTTGTTTCAGGAACTTATGATCTAAATTAGATTTCTCAAATACAGCTGGTTCTCTATATTCTGCACTCTTGAAAATAACAACCTTCAACAAAGCCTTGACAACAAACAGCTAAAGTTTTGGTTCCCTGAAAGTTTCTTCACGTAAGACTGATTTAAATGACGTAGAACGCTGTTGCTTATCAGAAAAGGTGTTCTGTGGATTTAGAATCTTCCAAACACTAAATGTGAGATCACAAATGGATCATTTTATTTTAATCGCATGTTTTAACACGTTTCATTGCTGAACACAAACGCTTTAAAGTGGGAGGTTGAAGCGTCTCTAGTGTTGAGGATTCTTTCAATTATTTTCCTAAAATCAGGTTTTGAACCGAGTTCTTGAAACAAATGAATAATAAATGTGAGTGTTTTGTACAAAGAGCCCACCTGTGACCCCATCCTGCCCCCAGCGGCCTGATCCTCCTCTAGAGGTCCTGCTCCCCCGGTGTCTGTCTGCCTGGACCTCCACACTGCTCTGTGCATCTTCTCTACTCTCTCTTCTTGTCGTTTCTCTGCGACTCCACACAGTTGTATTTGACTGCCGCGGACAGTAACAGCGGTCACTGCTGGCAGTTAAAGCCCTCGGAGAGTTCCAGGTCGTTTTGGTAACTCCATCTGCTAAACTAAGGTACACAACCGGTCCGCCTGCTCCTCTGTGTCACTCCCTCCAGACCCCCGGCTCCACCGACCCCTGTTTTAGATCCCAACGAGGCTGAGGGACACCCCCCCCCCCCCCCCCCCCCCGCCCCAAGTACCGCTCTCTTTGCCCTAATGTCTGATCTGATGTTTGTACCCTGTCGCCCTGCGCTGCATGTTCGCCTGCAACTGCTCTGCACCCAAACCGTTTGTGCTGAGGAACATTTGAAGCTGTACATTTTCCAGTGACGTGCGTCGGCTTTCAAAGATCACGCTGTTGATGCGACTTCATCACCAGGACGTGTTTGTCCCGACTGTTGGAGTTGTGGGTGAACTCATGTCAACATCTTAAAGACTCACATTTCACGAAAGGCTCTTTGAAACGGGAGGAAATTGGTCTTTCTAAACTTGTTGCTTTAATAGTTTATACCGGTGCAGTTTTTACGTTAAAGGTTCAAGGCAGACGTTTTTTCTTTGGAAAAACATGAGATAAACAAAAAGGGAAAACTAAAGTAGGAAAACATGCAATTGTAATATAGTAGTCCCTCATTTATCGCAGGGGGTTCTGTTCTCAGTGCCCCCACGATAAGTGAACAGTAGTTGTTTATTTTAGTATATATATATATATAAAGACATTTTAAACCCTTCCCACACTTCTGTAATATTCTAACCAATGTTTCTAAACGCTCTAACAGAGCACCGCCTGTCATGATCTCAGCTCCCTGCCAGCGCTCTCGGCCACGCCCACTTCTCTGCTGCAGAGCAGAGATCATGACAGGCTGCACCTGTGGGCTGCACACAGGTGCTAAATAATTTATTTTAAATTAAAAAAATCCACGCCCATCGTGCGGCTCATCTCTCAATCAGCCAGTTGTGTGTCATGTCCACTCCGACTTTGAAAAACCACGAAAGAGCGAGTCCGTGAAAGTCGAACCAGGAAGCAGCGAGGGACTGTGGTTGAAAATTTAACGACGACATTAAACCTACGTTTCCATCACCCCGCGCTGCTTCTTCTGTCATCATGACAACATCTGGCTCCATTTGTAGAAATTAGTTTTAGAAAATGCTGAATTATTTCAGTTGTTTGCTTTTAATTTACGTTTTGTGTTTAGTGGAAAAACAAATAAAGCAGCAGCTTTTACTCTGAATTGATCTGCGCTTGAGACCGGAGTCTGATCAACATGACGTTTGGGTTGTGAGAGAAATATTAATATTTTTTAATGTTGTGAATAGGAAGTTGTTCTAAACAAATTATGTGATGACATCATTTTTAATTAGCATGTTTTTACGCATTATATTAAAAAATGCCATTTATTTGTTGACACTTTCTGTTCATAACGATAAAGTAGATTAAGATGTTTACTGCAGTACTTCTAATGATACTTTTTCTTTCTGAATATGGTAAGTTTTGGTGTTTTGAGCCCATATTGGCTGTTCACAAGGTTCTGAAGGTTCTGATCCAGTTTGTCGTTTGTATCCACAGGAGTGAAATGCAGCCCCCGCGTGCACGTGTTTCACCCCCTTAAGACAAAATGCATGGGTCCATCCTGAATGTATATGAATGTCTGACTGACAACGGCTTTATTTTATATTGTTTCTTTTACTTCAGTGTCTGTCTCCTGTACATTTTATTTATTTATTTATTGTTTCCCTTTTATTGTTTGAATCATTAATTATCCTCGTAGACATTAGCGTTCTGGAAATAACTTCTCTAAAAATATTTGTTCGATTATTCTCTCATCTTGAATGAGACCTGCTCTGTAGTACTTTGTCAGTCCAACCAGGGTGTTGTTGTTGTTGTTGTTGTTGTTGTTGTGGTTGTTGTTGTTGTTGTGGTTGTTGTTGTTGTTGTTGTTGTTGGCTAATTTTTTGGAACAGATTTAATATTTATTCATAAAAACATTTCAGATCTGTTCCATTTTCAAACTTGAACTCTTTTTGATTGTTGTCAGATAATAATACTGAAATCCTACGTTTAGTGTTTTATTTGCCGTGAACACGACCAGACTGGTTTTTATTTTTCACCCTGTGTGTGTGTGTGTGTGTGTGTGTGTGTGTGTGTGTGTGTGTGTGTGTGTGTGTGTGGGTGTGTGTGTGTGTGTGTGTGTGTGTGTGTGTGTGTGTGTGTGTGTGTGTGTGTGTGTGTGTGTGTGTGTGTGTGTGTGTGTGTGTGTGTGTGTGTGTGTGTGTGTGCGTGCGTGTGCGTGCGTGTGCGTGCGTGTTTAGAAACGCCTGTTTAAATGCCAGTGTAATGAAGACGTGCGTTTTGTCTGCTTTTCTCGTCAGTACACCTCCAGCATGCGGGCGAAGTACTTGGCCAACAACAACAGCCGACCAGATCCTTCCAACCCTCCGGCGCATTAGATCCGTCTGCAGTGATCCAGTGATCCAGTCATCCATCCCGTTGGTCTCTCTCGCTCTTCTGCTTCCACTTTCTGTCTCGCCTGAACTGAACCAAATGTGCTTTCTGCTCCAAGCAGAACTTTAAGGACATCCATCTCCTCTTGCTTTAGGATTGCATGAACTTTCAGAGGTGCTGGGACTGAGCCGGGACTGTTTTTAGTTGTTTTTACTTTTAAACATGAATACAACCCCACGTGTAGCATGTCACATCCAACAGGACGTGTTGAGGACTTTGGAAGTGCTCGCAGTGGTTGTTCTGTGAAGAACTCTGGTGTTACTGCTTGCTGAATACCTGATCGTACAAAACAGGAAGAAGCTGCTGTTTTCTTCTCACCTGAAGCTCAGGTATGAGCTCTCACTCTTTCACCCAGTGCTCCCAGCAGGAATCAAACCATCAAACAGCTGAACCTTCTGGGAACTCCTTCCTACACATGAACCACACGCTAACTCTGGCCTGTTTTGGCGTTTTGTCTTTAAAGCTCGTGTTGGAACCAGTTTTCAGAAACGTGGCACTTTTTTCATATCGACTTGTTCCTGTGGCTTTTTCTGAAATGCTTTGATGAGCAGTGACTTGTGGACCCGACGAGGTTGATCCGACTGAAACAAATGATGGAAAATAATATTTTATATAACTGGAATTGTATTTTGGTGGAACGACTGTGGGGGGTGCTCTTGTAGGACAAGTTGCAGAGCTGGGAACACACACACATTTTCACACCGTTTGACAAAGACATGCTCAAAGATTCAGACGTGATCGTCCCGGCAGTCCTGACCCGAGAACTATCTCACGAATGTGTTTTAGCATTTATCTAAACGCAGAAAGGTCGAGTTGGTGCCGTGAAGGGACTCTGTGCGTGAACTTGTCTGAGAGGAAACGTTGGTGTTGGTGCGTGACGGCCGTGGTGAGACGTCCGTGCGTGTCCCTCAGCTCTGAGGACGATGGGACTGTGTCAACAAGTTGAGCACAAACGTCCTCAGAGCTGAGGGACACGCACGGACGTCTCACCACGTCCGTGCGTGTCCCTCAGCTCTGAGGACGTTTGTGCCAACAAGTTGACACAAACGTCCTCGGTAACTTTTTACACGTGTGTACATCTTTCATGTGCTCCTATAGAAGCTGTGAAAAACATTTAATTCACTGATGCAGATATTTGAGGTTGTTTTGTTCTTCGTAACACATTAATTACAAAATCAATCCACATTTCCTGAAGCTTCTTAAACATTTTTAATTTAGTTGAAAACAAGCAAACACAATGTGTTGCTTAATTAATGTAAATAAAATAGAATTCAAATTGTCATTGATTTTGTGTGTGTGTGCGTGCGTGTGTGCGTGCGTGCGTGTGCACAAAAAACATCCTAGATCTTGTTTTTTATACTTCATTTTGTAACGTGCACGTGTACCAGCTGTGTATTACTGGGCTTGAATGGTGCGTTTTGAAATAAAGAAACGTTGAAGAGCACAAGAGTTTGGATTCTTTGAATCTTTACCCAGAACAAACACCAGGTCGCAGCAGAACGACACGCTTCATCCTTTTCTGGAACATCAGACTAGAACATGCATCTAGAACATTTACGCTTCATTCAGTTTCTTTGTTTAAATTTCATTTTGAAATAAATGTAATTTCATTAAAACTTCCTGTTTCTCAAATATTTTAAAGTAGATTAATGTGCAGTTTTGCTTTAAAAATTTAAAATAGCTACAACTTTGCTGTTTTCTCTGATAATTATAGCTTACACCTTAAAACGTGTGTGTGTGTGCGTGTGTGTGTGTGCGTGTGTGTGTGTGTGTTAGCAAAATATCAGGGATGATTACATTTTTTGAAACTCGCAGTAATCATTGGGTGTAAATGTTAAACTTAACACTAATTGAACAAAAAGCTGCACCTCTGTGACTGTTACAGATGTTGAGCTACAAACTTGTGTGGTAGTAGCTGAGAGTCGTTCCCAGCACATACTCTGCTAACACATCTCACTAGTTCACGATGTGAGGAGGTCGAGCATATTTAAAATAAAATGATCATAATCCTGTCGGTTCTCTACACAAAGATCTTTAAATATTTATTCTGGCTTCACCCTGTAGCCTCAGGATTACAAGAGCACCGCACCGACCTGCCGTGGACCCTCTAAAGCTAAGCTAATGTGTCGGCAGCGGGATTTGAACCCACACCTTCAAAATGACTCCAGTGCCATGAACGTCTTCCTGTGGTGCAACCATTCTGGAACACACTAGTTGTGTTTTGAGTGTTTATTACACATGATTTCTGATGACAGAGATGCATTCAGATCAGATTTTTCTCAGTGTTAAAATAATGGAAATAATAAACGGACTTTAGGATTTATAGACTTTAATAATATATAGTGGTTCCCAACCAAGGTCCTTGAGGAACACCACCCTGCATGTTTTAGTTGCTCCTGATTCAGTGATTTAATTACTTCCTGCTATGACCTCATGTTCTGCAGAAGCTTGTTAATTACCTCTTCATTTAAATCAAATGTGTCAAAGCAGGAAAACAACTAATATATGCAGGATGGTGTTCCTCAAGGACCATGGTTGGGAACCATTGCTTTACTGGACAGTGGTGCAGCAGAGCAGTTACCAGCAAAATACCTCAAAAAGCTGGCGAGGACCAAACAATTTAAAAATTGTGACGTATTTCTAGTTAAAGTTTCCAGCATGAATAACGAACATGTTCTTCTGTTTTCCACATACTGAGTTCAGTGTGTTGGTATTTGTATCTGCAGGGACGAACAGCAGGCCCATGGAAAAGGCTCCGTTTGTGATCGTGACCTCTCTGAGCCGACAGCAGGCTGGAGGTCAGTGTCGCCGTCGGGACACCAGTCTGGTTTTAGTCACTTCCTGTTCACCGCCAGCCAGCTGCTGCCCCCCCTCCCCCCCACCACCACCACCACCACCAAACACCCTTTATGTGCAGAATTCATTGTTGAAACGGAAACAGAGGAGCTTCTGTAACAACAAACATTTTGAGATGTGTCTCAGGTTTTACTGGCCTTCAAATGAACAGGATTACAACCGTGAGACCAGACAAGGGTTTGGACAAAATCTTTTTTGTTTTACTTCAGTGTATACAGTATTCAAGTTGTGTATATGGATTATATACTTTCCTGAGCTGCTGTTTATTGTGGCACCACTCCGCAAACAGAGCCGTAAACAAACAAAGCCGTAAACAAACAAAGCCGTAAACAAACAAAGCCGTAAACAAACAAAGCCGTAAACAAACAAAGCATGATGAAGGCAGGAAGGGTTTGACGGAGAGCCGAAGATGCAAATGAAATTTCACACGGCCTCACCGTGGAGGAAATTGAATTCCCCTGTTGTTGCTGGAGTGGAGGAATGCATCACTAATGCTTTGAGCTGAGGAGCTGAATGGAGACGAGGGAGGAGGAAGAGGAGGGAGAGCGCTGTGCCTCCATCAACCCCCACACCCCCTCTACAGACACTTCCTGATTCTGACTGGGCTTTCTGCCAACTGGACCATGGCTGTCCTCCTCCTCTGCCCTCTCAGAGTGGAGCAGCTGCGATGAAGACTCACCAGGGAGATGAAGACTCACCAGGCAGTTCAAGACTTCCATTGAAAAACTTCCTGCTTTTATGAACCAGAACTCGGGCCAGTCGGCGCTCTGACCCAGGAGCCCTCGGGTTTATTCACTTCTTTAAATAAAGTTCTGCTGCCAAACAAACAACACGAGTTCATGGATCCGACTATAAACTGTTTAAATGTGCGGAAAGTCTGAGCAAAAACAGAAAACCGTCTGCGTTTGTGGATTTTGTTTCCCAAAGTTTGGTAAATATTTAGTGCCTTCCTGGTTTTATGTCGTTTCCATGTGTGTCCAAATGTGAAGACATTCACGAGTCCTGCTCATATCTTTGTCTCCTTTTCATCTCGTTCCTCAGCGTGTTTTCATCACACGATAATCAGATTAATGTGAAATCAGATTGTTTCAGTAGAAACAGCCTCCTGGATAAAAACGTCCCATGAAGTGTGGATTCAGTGTCACGGGAAGCTGAGCGCTGGTGAACTCTACACTAAGTGATGAGGAGGACTTTCAGCTACTAACAAGCCAAACTTTAGCTCGGTATCTGTGAAGCTGACGGAATTATAGTCATTTTTGTGTTTGGTAGTGGATTACGTGTGGTGGCCATCTTGAACTGGATTGACTTCAAATCAGCTGACTGCATCAGTAAAGTATCTCATAAACCATGAAAGACTTCAATAAAACTCTCAGAAATAACAATCAAAGATCTTTTACAAGGAGCAGCCATTAAATAAAATCTCCTGATGCATGCTCAATAATCCAGGTCCAAAAAAGTTCAATCTGGTCCTCTGGACCTTCAAAAAGACAACGGGGAGATGACGCCCTGCACGGCCTGAGGGGGCTCCAAGGCTCTGGTGGCGGAGCTCCATCTAGCTCGCTCTGGATTTTGTCGTTGGCCACCAAATACAAAAACACCTGCACTTCAGCTTAAGACCTCGTGTTGTCATTATTGATTTAAAAGCTTAAAAATGGGTCCAATGGCTCCTCGAGTTCGAACACTGGAAATGGCAAATGGCGGATGGAATGTTTAGAAAATTCTCAAACCCTTCTAGTGACTCCGCCCCCTGACCAATCAGTGACCGACAGTGTTCTGACGTCACGTTTTGGTGCCGGCTCGGCTCGGTTGGTACCATGAGAAAAAGGGACCAAAAACTGTGCCGGCTCCATGAAAGGGCTCGGAAGCGTACCGAACTGGGTGGAGTCATGCTGATAAGGTTCTGTGGGAAAGGAGCTAAAAGTCCTTGAGCTGAACTTGTCAGGAGCAGCTGAAGTTTGCTAAGAAACACCGAAACACTCGCTGCAGTTTGTCTTTTTAAATGTTAAAGCTCCTCAGGTCCTCCACTGAAGAGCTGCTTTCAGAGTCCCAGTTTCTCCATTGTGGTGATACGTGATACCTGGATTATGGCCTTTGTAGCACATGTTGAGCAGGATTAAGATCTCCGCCAGCTGTTGTGAGATCAGTCCAGAGGGGCTTGTCCCACCGCTTCTAATCCCTCAGACAATGCAGCCGGTTAATTGGAGACTGACGGATACAGCAAAGGAAAGACATGAAGACAATGTGCAAGTGGCCTGGTCCCTGTAATCCCCTGCACTCTGAATAACGCGGCGTCCATCCACACATGCTTCACCAGCTC